TTTATCATCTTTGAAGTTTGCTACATCTAGTATATAAGTGTGTATGAATCTCTGTGTGAATCAATGAAGTAAACATTCTTTTCACATTCTTGTGAAGTTCTTTTGTGCATTTCAAAATATATAGAAGATTATATATTCAAATTTATGTGGGTTTAAATATTAGAAAGGAGTACTTAGATAAAATGAAAAGAATGTAAAGTTTAAACTTTAAAGGGATGATTTTTCCACCTTCGACGAATACTGCGAGTCACTAATGATGAACATTATTAATTTAATTTATAAAAAATTAAAATTCTAAAAAACCCAACTTATAATTGTAAATTAGTTAAAATAAAATATTTATTATATTATTTTCTATAATCGTTTTTGTTAAACTATATAAGTGATTACCTAACTATTGCCCCTTTTTATTTTGACCACTATTTTTGAATTTTTTTCAATCATGTCATTAAACTATTTAAATGCATTCAATCAAGCCACTTGTCGTTAACAATTAATGGAAGTGCTTATGTGGTAGTTAATAAAATTTATATAATTACATGTTTAATCCTTATTACTTAGACAATCTATTAAATTGGTCATAATTTTAAATTAATTCAATATATTTTATCCTCCAATCATATAACTTCAAAATCTTTTATATTGTAATATTAACAAATGATACACAAATAATTATAATTTGATGATTTTATCATGTCAATTGTTAATTGTCTAATGATTAAATAGATTTTAAAAAAAAAAATTTTTATTCGAATAATATCAATTAATTGTTTGAAGTTCATCAATGATAAAACTATTGTAATTAACAAATGATACACAAATAATTAATTTGATGATTTTATCATGTCAATTGTTATTGTCTAATGATTAAATAGATTTTAAAAAAAAAAATTTATTCGAATAATATCAATTAATTGTTTGAAGTTCATCAATGATAAAACAAATAATATTTTACTTACTTTTTTAAGAAAATTTTAAAATATGTCTTAATAAAAATCAAAATTGTAACTTAATCTATATGAGACTTATAGATATAGATATTAAACAATATTAAATAAAAATATAAAAATAATAGAAAATATTATAAGTATTGTTACTAAAATAATACCACGTGAAACTTGGTTTATTGTATACATATTGATATCAACAACTACAAAATCATCTCAAACATGTTTCGTTGTCGATCCAACAATCTTTTTGTTTCCCTTATTTATTTTAAATCATCAAATTATAATTCAAAATGTGAAGTTATATGATTGGAGGATAATTTTATGTGTATCATTTGTTAATATTTCAATATAAAATATTTTAAGTTATATGATAGGAGGATAAAATATATTAAATTAATTTCAAAATATGACCAATTTAATAGATTGTGTACTCAAACTATTATATTACTCAACATATTATATAATTAGATATTATAGTACTCAATATATTATATAAATTAAATGATAAATAAATTAAATATAATTATAAAAATAAAATAATTCTTAAAAAACCATATATGATGCATATAACGAATTATCCAAAAAAAAAATCAGCAGTGGGTCCTCAGTCATACTAAAACGCTAGCCCATATCCACAAGTGAAGTTAAAATAAAATTTGAAGTGGAAGAAGCTGTTTTCCAAAACCACAAAAAATCCCAAGAGGCTTTGAACAAATCAAAAACTTGGAAACATGTCTTCTCCTTGTTTTTCTCTGTTTCAATCTCTATCCTTTCTTTCAACTCCATGCCCGTCTCATGCCCTTCTGTTTCACAATTATCCCAACTTTATCCCCTTCAAAACCACTTTCAAGAACTCCTTTAACTCCAAAACTCTCCACCTCTCAAAACCTCTTAACGTCTCGTTTGCTCTTACAGAATCAGACTCTCCAAAATCCCTTGAACCCGACCTTCAATTCCTTCTCCAACAAGTTGCTGTAAGTTCTAATTCGTATCCTTTCTGATCGAAATCTGTTATTTCCATTGTTTTTTTAATGCCATTTGTATGGTTGCAGGATAGCTTTGATCTTCCTTCAGATTACTTTTCCCAGCTACCGGGTGATCTTCGATTAGATGTAAGATGAAATTCGGTGACCCTTTTGGATATAATTAACAGTGTTTTATTGGTTTTCATTGGTTTTTTAAAGCACGTAAAAATTGATGTTGTTTTGGGGTGTTATGAATGTGTGCTTTTAGTTGAAGGATGCAGCTTTTGATCTTTCAAATGGACCTGTGATGAGGTTAGTTATCATTGCTCTCTGTATTGCTAGCGTAATTTCTTGAATTAATATTTTGGTCTTAAAAAAAACTTTGAGATGGTTTGAAAATAATGAATTGCAAGATTATTTAAAGATTAAATCATTTATCTTTTGCTAGGAAGAATTCTGGAACATAATCCGAGAAGTGGCTGATGCTTTGCTGCCTCATTGAGTGTCATTTCAATGGATTCTTTTCTAGTTATCCCTATTAAATCTTAGGTTTCCCGAGGTCTTGTATTTAAGATCATGTGTGTTTATATCCGGAAAAAAAAGATCACGTGTGTTATGTTCTTCTTGCTTAATTCATGTGAGGTTGCTTAATCTATTATGTCCAGGGTTGCCTCAGATCTTGTATTCAGATTTGACGAATCTACTTTTTGCCAATTGGTTTTAGGTTGAACGCTTAACACTGTTGTGTTGTTTCTGGCTCATGACTGTCCTCATGTCTCCGTTCCACCGTTATTAAGTTTAAATTCACATGATAGGGTGCCTAAATCCATTCAGGAGCAATTCATATTCTGTCATGTTTTCTGGATTGGACAAACTGATCAATAAACGATAGTCTTGTTGGTCAATAAACTGGTCACAAGGAGCTTCTTTCTTTGAATTATCTTTTTCAGTGTGGCTAGAATTGGGAGAAGCATTATTAAATCTCTCAAGAGCTTGGGAGTTAGCTGATACATCAACTTCCTATACAATAGCAAGCAAGATCCCAGCACTAGTGAACTCTTTGAACGACAGTGCGAAATCAGGCGAGAAAAAAGCATATGCGAGTGTCGTCTAAATATCAATCTTAAAGAAATTTATTTCTGAAATCTTGTTTGTTTCCAACTGTTTGCTTCTTTAGCATGTGGAAGGCGCTTGGTAGCTGCTGGAAGAAGGTTCCGCTCAATGGGACAGTATGGTCAAGGGAAACTTCAAAAGGTATTTCAAGTAGCCTGGAAATAGATGCTTTTCTCGTATTCATTTTCCATTTTATGAACCTAAATACTCGACTCTTCATTTTCCCTAAAGTATCAATTTCCGAAACCTGTATCCAGTACATATTTGGTTGGACCTAGGTATGGAGGGTATGGTCCTCTAAATGTATGAAAAACTTCGAAAAAGTTCAGCATACCGGTGCCAGACACATACTTGAATCCAGTGCCTCGAGTCTTTGTAACACAATTATGAACATTCTAACTTATTTTCCTACAGATTGAAAAAGTGTTCTCTAGATTTTTGCCTCCAAGGGCATGCCTATTATAATTGTTTTAACCCTGTGAAACTTTTCTAGTGTTGTAAAATTTTAAAAACATTCCATTGAACCATTGCAGATTGCAAAAGCAATGAATGCTGCTGGAAGACTTCTGTCTGCAAGTTCAGTATCTGCAACAACTGAAGAACAACCAAAAACAGAAACTAGAATGTTTAAGGTAGATGCCATTACTCCACCTGTTCCAGGATGTATACTCGATTGCATGGGTCTAAATCACTGAGAAGCTTTTACCACTTGCAGTTTGGAGAACTTCAGGTTGAGGTAACATCGGAGAAAGCTTACATTGGAGCTGCAATAGGTTTCATTTTCGGGTAAACATCTCATTTGCATTGTTGTGATTTCTACAAAACAAATTCTAAAAGAATGTTAAAATAACTGCTCTTAATACTGAAAACCCAGGATCCTTTCATTGCAAATAGCACAGGGCATCCAAAGCGTACCGGAGAGTTCATTGGAATATGCAAATGACAATGCTCTGCTTCTAGCTAAGGTTCTTAAAAAACCACAAACTCGGATTACATCGAGACTTATTCATAACTGTTAACCCATTGCTAGATACTAAAAAAAACTCGAAAACTCTGTGATGCAGTCATTAAGGGGAGCACTACTTGCACTTTTCTATTCGTCCACGATCTTGTCTGCTTTTACCATGATCGGACTATTCTTACTTGGAAGACAGCTAAAGTCCGAGGGAAAGTAACCTTATATTTCTTGGCTCAGTTTTGCTTGTAAGTTGGCTAGACTCTAACCGCTTTGGACAATTATGGTATTGAGCTTCCACCAGGAAGAACGGCATGAAGGATTAGGACTGCTGTCTGGTGTGTTCTCAGACTTGAGTGTGTTTGATGCACATTTGTATATAACACGAGAATACTGATATTTTTCCAAGGTTTTATTGTACAATAAGCAGATACAAATGAATTCAAACATCGGATAAATTGCGTCCAAAATTCTGGTCTTATTTAGACAACAAAATATTTAATTCAACATGAATACATCAAGGTAAAGAAACCATTAAATCCTTCTAAGGCCCGTCTATATCATTGTACAATAATCCTCTCACTTTTCTGGTGCTAAAAGTATCAAAGTATCTGGAAACCTTTACAAGCTATGGCCTTATGAGATGCTAAACAATCATATCTAGTAACAAAAATCAAAAGTTACAACAATGTTGTTCACCATCGGATGTGATATCAATGACTAGACCGAGACGAATGTTCCTGATTAGGGATGGCAACGGGCCGATCGGATCGGATATTGATCTCCCGTCCCCGTTTAAAAAATCCGTATTCATCTCCGCTTAAAAAACCGCAGGAATTTAAACGGGGATCCCCATCGAGTAATCAGAGAAACATATCTTCGTTTAACATAAACGGTTATTTAAACAAGTATCGAGTTGGATATATATATTTAAATTAAATATATAAATATTATATATATTTTTTAATTTAAATTAAATTTATTAATATTATATATATATAATAATTATTATTTTTAATATTTATCGGGCCGGGTATCAGGACGGGTATCAGGCCGATAATAATCGGGACAGGAATTACTAAACCCGTCCCTATCCCCGTCCCCGTTTAACATAAACGATTTTTCCCTGTTCCCGTCTCTGTTTAGCATAAACTGTTTTCCTCCATCCCCGTTTAATTCAGTTTTTGAGTTTTTCCGTCGAGTTCGAGTTTTTTTGCCATCCCTATTCCTGGTGGCTGTTATCCAATCCATCATCAATCTCATTTTCATATCTGGCTGAACCATGAGACCTTGGTGAATGTCTTGAAGAACTATGGGAACCATGACTAGCAAAATCTTCATAAACCAAGGGGCTCCTTCTACCCCTCTCATAATAGGACCTTCCCGAGGTTGGGCTTCGCTGCCTTAAAATAGGCTGTCTTGAACTTTGAAAATTGTAAGCAGAATCATGATTACCATACCTAGGGAGAAAGGTTGAGCTGACTCTAGTGTCAACTCCAGGAGGGCCATCATCTTCATAATCATCATAGTACCTTCGTTCGAGCCCCCTGCTACCAGGTTCAGAAGAATGGTTTAACCTATAGTGTGACTGTCCTACTCCTAATCGATTCGGAACTTGAATGACAGGAGCCCAAAGTTTTTCATCTGCCTCTGCAGGGATAGATGCATTTATTCCTGGAAATTCAACTGTCATTTTCATCCTTGGTTGAGGATGCACCATCTCTGCAATTTCGCCATCTTCGTGTCCATCAGTTTCTACATCAGCATATATCGCAATTCCAGATGGCTCATCCTCAACTTCAGGTACTGAAAATTTTAGAGATTGTCAATTTTATACGAGAGAATAACAATGACGTTTAAGCAGGCTAACAAACAATTACTGTCAAACTATGGTTGAATCTTAGACAGTGGTTTGAGATCAGAAGATAGAATTTAAGAGGTAAAAGGGGAAGCCATTTTTATTTGTGGCCAGGAATCAATAAGATTTGTCTTCATGCAATTCTTGACGAAGATGCGGAGCCCTTATGACATTATTGCTCCAATTATTTGCAGCAACTAACTGAATAGTTTATTGGTCAAACACTCATCAGTTATCTGTGAATATTATAGACGACCAAAATAGTTGGGGGATTGGGGCAAAAATGGCATGGCCCTTCAGAGATTGCAGACTGCAATTTCTTCCAACCGTGATTATTTACCAAAAATGTTTCAATGCAATAACTAAAATGAGGTTCAAACTCAGTTGAGAAGTGTTTAGTTACCTAGATATCCCGGTGGATACCCAATTTCTCGCATTCTGTTAAGCCACGGTGGTGGATCGAACTCCTGTGTAAGGAGATAAACAAGGAATTAACATATGTTTCCTGTTAATATATATATTCATCCATAGATAATGACGGAATTGGGACTGCCTTTCTTTTTCCATTGACTTTAGTATGCATCTATAACAGCCAAATAAGACTTCAACTTAAAAATGACCACATTTCTTACTGCTTTGTGACTTGAAAAGTCAATCATCCGTGCACATAATGACCAAAATGAAAATGCACCAATAGCCATGCAGAATAAGTCATTGATCCATGGCCATTGCGAACAAAAGAAGGCAGAATGCATTCGTCAGATATAATCGACACCAATTAATGGAGTGGACATGCTTGCCACTAAGGCTAATCATACAATTCAGGAAATAAAACTAGATGAAAACATGAAAAAACTTTTGGAATAGGTTGTTGGCTAATCATACAAATGTATGATGACTGGGAACTTTAGCACTGTGTGCAAAATCTAGTTGATTTCCATGTAATATATTTGGGTGTATCATTAGGTACAACAAAAAGAAGGGAGCAGGGGGGGAGCTGTCATGTAATTGGAGGAGAATATTACCCCAAGGCTAATAGTTCTCGTGTTTCACCACCAAGAACACCAGGCTTTAGATCATCATACTTTCCACCTTGAGAGCTCTGATAATAGCGAATTGCATTGCGAGAAGCAGCATTCTGATTACGCTTGAACTTTTGGTGTTGCTTTCGAGCATTGTTGACAGCAACACTATCACGAGGCTTTGGGCATTGCTTCAGGGAATGACTATAAGAACCACAGTTGAAACAACGGAAGCCTCCTCTTTCAACTCCAGGCCTCGGCAACATGCAACACAAATAGGTAAGAAAAATTGAACATGCAAGGTGGAAGAGTGGAAGCACAGGCATAGACAGAGGAGAGCCAATACAGGACACAAGATGCACCATGCTTACAGTTATATCTACCAAACTGGGATTTAATAGAATAGATTGGCAAGAAAATATCTCCTTGCTATGACATATATTTCGTTTTTGATAATTCCGACTGGTGACTGGCATTAACAGATTTAGCAATAAACCTACCACTGCTACTTATCAGACATAATTATTCTTATCTTTTTTTTTCGTGGGTTGTGCAAGGACATAAAATAGGCCCTAAAGGCTTATAACAAACTTGCATGTCAGCATCAATTTACATGGCAAACAATATTTACAAAATCACAGATGATATTTACCCTTCCAAATTACTTGAAGCATCAGCTGAAGTCAAACCCATTGCAAACCCACGATCGTAAAGCGGCACAACGTTACTGTCCAATGGGATGAACTCCGCATCATGCAGATTCCTTGTTTGGTTGTCAATCCAGAACGACTACAAATCCAATAACAAAATTAAACCAAAATATTGAGAAAATACACTAAACTCTACCAAACCATGAGCCCTTTTGCAACAGAAAGACAGACTGAGAAACTTTAACATGCATAAAATTTACAATTTTAAGGAAGGAATGGTAAGGGTTGCAATGTCAAATCCATTTAGAGAGTAAATAATTGAATGATTTTTTTCAATAGAAAAACAAATTCACTCAAGATTCAGAATTCTGATAATGAAAAATTACTAAACAATATAACAGATCTCTAATGACATTAATTGAAAAAAATGTTAAAAGGTACAAAACTGTACCTCTACAAAAAAAATATTCAAACTACAAAGATCTAAATCAGTTCAAAACATGATGCCTAGGGGATAGAGATAAGCTTACCACAGATGAAGGTTTCTCTGCACCAATGCGTAGAGCAGGAAAGTATGTCTCTTCCCCTGATTCTGTAAGTTCATTTTCCTGACCAGATTGAATTACATTCAGTTACGCTTCATGTTAAGGATGAGAAAAAATGCAATACATAACAATATAATGGACAGATGCGTACACATCTGTGCTTATGCACCCACATGTGCATACATTGATCCATCTACATATGCACATGTATATTCCCTTACAAGTACACCTACCAACGTACTCATCCAAACACACAGATACAATCAAACAAAATATGCATGACCCGTCCATCTATAACACAGCTTTCGGTAGGAGACACGGGTTCAGATATAACATCTCTTTGGAAGTTCCCATTTAAGAATAAATTCAAAATTCTATCTTACAACTTACAAGAGAACATTATTAGAAGGACTGGATGCTCCGAATGAACTCCACAAGTTCATAAGGATACCTAATTCAATCTAAATGTAGGTACTGTGAAACAGTAATTGCCATTAGATTCTCAAACATAAAAGTATACGATATGCTCAAGGTGAAAACGAAAATATACAATCTGTTGATAGGGTATTACAAATCATGCAAGATAAAGAAAGGTAAATCAATGCTCTACCCTCTTGTAAATGAATTTAATAAGTGATGAATAGAGGTAGAATATTGAAAACCAAAATTTCAACCAGACATACTTGCAATGATGAACCATGTTCAGCTTGCCACTCTGACCACTTTCGTAAAAGTTCCTCAAGCTTCTGCTTACTAGCTCTGGAAAAAAAAATAGGAGATAATAATAAGGAATATAACTAAAAAAATGTAAATTACTATTTATCTTAACAAGTCCTACTTCAGTCTATTAAACAAGACTAAACTTCAACAAAAGGAATAAAAACGTGAAGCTTTTCATTCATTGATTTTCAGAATTAGCCTCCAGTCCTAACCTTGTTAAGAAACTATACACAATACGAATAGAAGGTTGCTGGTCATCAAAGGTCATCCTGCTCTTAACACCAGATATAGCTGGCACATTGAATTATGGAAAACAAAAACAATCATACCATAGACTCTAGAGAAATATTTACTTCTGTCACATGGAATTGAGCTTATGAAACATACAATTGCAGAAGCAAAGTTCTTAAGCTAGAGTCAGCGAATACACAATAAAGAAAACTACGATAATGGAGAAGCAGGATACAAATACCATCCATTGTGTGGTTCTGGATGGGACTTCCATTTTGGACATCAAGACACCGCTTTTTGGTAGACACTGATGAGACACCCAATTTCTCTTCAACTGTAAAATGTATAGAATGAGCTCCAGAGCTAACATCATCCAATTTCGTTTCAGCTCTAAGAGTTTCAGTTTCTTCATTACTTATTTACATATCGTACGAATTGCCTGCAAGAGTGTTGTCTACCTTTGCTTCCGCATTTAAAAGTTTCTGAGGGTTTCTAATACCCCCTTCATTCAGCTCCAGGATCTCAGCTTTCACTTCACCATATTCAAACTCAATATTTTAGATTGAGAATCTATTTGATGGGGTCCATCATCCACATCCTGAAGTTCACCACTCTCACATCTAGACATAGAATTACTAGATGCAGGAAGAGTAATTAAATACTGCCCTTCTACAATTGTATTACTGGATATAACATGAACCCTCATTAGCAAACTCCAATGTAATGAATCACAAGATATATTATTTTCAGTGCTTTGGACCAATTTATGCGTTTAGAGTTTCATCTTTAAAAACTGTTTTATTAGAGGAAGAATTCCAGGCCTTCTTATTATTTTCTTCTTAAAATTAATAAGTAATATGTTATCATTAAACATTAAATTCGAAATCAGGAGTGAATTGTTCTTTGTCCTCTTCAAAAAGGAAATTCAATTTACTCTCTTAAATATTACAGAAAAGCAATAAAATATGCTATAAATGAAAAAGAAACCCCATAAAGTTTAAAGGCTAAACAAAATGACCAAATCTAGTTTTTGCACTACTAACCTTTCACTCACGATCCACTAATTTGGACGTGGGTAGAATTGAAGGATGCAAGTCACACTACAAGAACAAAGATCAAAACACCCATAAGAACTAAAATCAAATTCCAATCCCCTTCTTATCAAAAAAAAAATCCAATCCCCTGAAATATAAAAACAGGGCATATCCAAGTTTCTTCTTGCAGGCGAGGGAATATTGCAGCATAGGAAACATGAAAAAATAAATAGCTAACTTAATCATGCACTGACAGATAAAACAAGTCAACCAGTGAGTCTATAAAACCAAGATAATATTAACCCAATTCGCCCAAACAATTGTACTCTATGCAAAATTGAGAAGAAAAACTCCACACATGAAAGTAGTAAAGGTAACCAATCCCAACAAGTATAGAACAATAAAGAGACAACAACCAGATTAATTTAATGCCAAATAAAGCTGAAAATTATTTCAGTTCCCAGATCACTTCACATCCTTGCAAAAATTATTTATCTCTTCTTTAATGTACTCTGAATCTAACTAAACTAAAGAAGAATAAAACGAAAAACCTATGGAACTTCTTTCGTTGTTTGTTTTACATGCCGACTATAATTTTTTTTTTCCTTTTCAGATCTCAATGGCTCATTTATGGTTGGGGGAGAGCAAAAGATAAACTAACCAGCAATTTTAGGGATGAGAGCCTAAAATATTATTCTCCTGAAAACAAAAAGCATTAATTTGGGTTAATCAGAAGCTTTCCGAAAGAAAAGAAAAAAACTTGACAAGAAAATTTTACAGCCCTAGAATTTCATAATTCTCCAAAGAAATTACCAAACAGGGGTGTTGGAGTTATAGTCATAAGGCTGTAAAGAGCAAGAATATGAGAGAGAAAATAAGAAAAAGAAATGGAAGCGCCAGTGGCGGCGGCGCGCGGCGGTAGGTAGGGAAATCCGCTGCTGCTGGTTGTGGCTGTGAAGATTTGAGGTTTTTGTAAATCCAAAGGCCTAAAAGAAAAGAAAAATTGGAGGCTGAAGGCCAACGCTTAATTATTAAATATTATTTACCCGCCTTTTTTTATATATAAATTAGATAAAATGTCCTTCACGTAAAGACATTAACTCCTACAAAATGCGTAGAATCAATGATAAATATTAGGCGTTTTTACCCAAAAAATCACACAAACAATTAATAATTACATGTCAAACACTTTTTCTCTTAATATTACCAATCTAACATGATAATAAAGTGTGTTTCAGGATATACGCCTTGTAGACGTGGATAGAAGGCGCTAATCATGAAGTGAGCCTTCTTGGGGTTCTGTTCGAGCTGGCGTCACGATAAAAAAATATAGATTGTAATTTGTGCCTTCGCGGGGTTTTCTGACACGTTAGAGAGGCACGGATCATAAAGCACGCCTCCGATTATTCCACCCTCAATTATTGCCCATTCTATTATTACCGCAGGTGCCTTAAATCTCGGATAACTAATCCCCTCCCCCTATAAATACCCTAAATTCAAATATCAAATCACACCAAAATTACATTCACATTATTCTTCTATAAATTCCTTCTATCAAGTAGATTTTGTTACAGCTTTTAGAAGGTGAAATTGTTTTTATTATATTATATTTATTTCATTTTTAATTTATTTGACCAAATTTTATTGTATTAATTATTTTTTATTACTTTTTGCAGTTGTAAAATGGAATACATGGTCATATCTCGATACATTTTGTCAATACGATAACAATATTAAATTGGGTTATTTAAATCATTGTGAATATTTTTAATTTTTTTAGTATTAGTTTATATTTTAGTTCTTATATTATTATTTAATTCAGAGAATGTTGTATATTAGAAACAACTATTCGTTTTTGCAGATATAAGACTTTCAATCTTTCAAACTCTTAAACTCTCAAAATGAGGCATATTTCAGCTATTGCTTACTATGATGAAGAAATTTGGGAAGATGAAACTGGCGTTATATTTCGCATCAAATTATTCTGTTACCTTTCCTTCAAGAGAAATATCACTCTTGAGAGCTTATCACTAAAATTTCAAGGAAAGTTCATGTTGGAAGTATTAAAAGACTGTCCTCACTTCAGTACAGATTTCCAACTGCACTATTTTCGTTAACTTATACAGCGTTCGAACTCTCTAACGATGGCGATGTTGCTATGATGGTTGTGTTCATAATCAAAATTCAAATGTTGTTACACAAATGTATGTCACATTTGTTGAAGTGTCTACTATTCGTGGTATGTCATTATGCTCCCATTATTGGCTGACTTCAACAAGCTGATCAAATTGACAGTCCAACTCAAGTAATGTGTAATGATTTAACTCATTAATGGGAAACCACATCTTGGTATCATCCCATCAAGTTCAATGGGGAGATATTGTTGGGATTTGCGGAAGCTCGAATCGACAACCGAAAAGGTTCGCCAAGAGCGATGGAGTCGGTTCTTGTGTTTAGGGAGTAAGAGATTAGAAAGATAGAAAATTGCACAACGATTTATAGTGTTCGACTTCTTAACCAAGTTTACATCCACTGCCTTAGCTATTCACCAAGGATTTTCCAACAAATTCACTAATTTGTTCTTTCTTTTTCAAGGACAAAGAGAAAACCTTTACAACTCCCTAGTTTTTCACGGGCTAAACTAGAACCTTATCCCTAGCTTTTAGCGAGCTTAACTAGAACCAAAACCCATTTACAAGGAAAGAAATATAAATAAGAAAACTCTCTAAGGTAGGTGTTTACAAGAATTAAGCTCACAAGAACAAAAATATTTACAAGAGAAAGATGAAATAAGATTGAAAAACTCTTCTCTTGTGTATGATTGCTTCGATAGGTGTCCTCTATGTTCAGTGTCCTCAGCTTGTTTTTATAGCTTGAAATGAATTTGAAGTCGTATCTAGCCGTTGGGGATGTTTTGGAACTGTTGGGATTCATTTTCTGCAAAATAAAATTGCCCAAAACAAGTAGTATCGGTACTCCTTCAATGAGTATCGATACTACCTTTGTAATATTTGAATTTTTGACCGTTGGGCTTGATATTACTGTAGCAATAGCGATACTACTGTAGCAGTATCGGTACCCATTTTGCATTTGTTATTTTTGAGCATTGGTAATGTTCATTACTGTTTACACAGCATCGGGACTGTTTATACAGTAGTGGTACTATTTATACAGTACAATACTCTTCATAAAAAAATTGTGCTCAATTCCAACTTAAATGGACTTTGAATTATTTTTGAAAACTTTAAATAAATTCAATTCAAGTGCAAAAATATTTTGCCATAAATTGTTATATCAAAATATAGTTCAACAATCTCCCTCTTTTTGATATAACAAAACATTTGAAAATTGTTTTTGACAAAACTCCCCCTTAATAAAATGTTTAATGAAAAAGATATCAATTGAATTGTTTGAAAATATATAAAAATGTTTAGCTCTCCATTTTTCATTAAGAAATTGAATTTTTCAAACCATATTTCTCCCCCTTTTTGTTATATAAAAATAATTCAATCTTTAGAGCCCGTCTGGATTAAGGATTTGATGATTCCCGACAGGCATATTTTTTCCTGATTAAGGATATCCATGTTGGTTGGGTAAGATACCCAAGTGAGGGTAATATTCCAATACCAACAGTAAATGTTGGCGTGTTTATTCCTGGGAATGTTATTCCCACATGAGTGTTAGGTATTCTTTTATTCCTGTGCTAAGGGCTAAAATACCATTCTTTTCCGTTTGCCTCTGTGATATCTTCTTCTCCCCGTGAGTTGTCTCTGTGAAAAATTCATCGTTTTCCCAGTGAGATTCTCATGGTAAGATTTCTTCTCATCTCACTTTCTTTTATTTTCCCAGTAATATTACTTGGTTTCTATTTTCTCCCCTTGCTTCTCTCCATTTTCTCCATTAAAATTTTCTTTCTTTTATATTCTTTTCCCCAGCATTGCTTCTGTCCAGGAATTTAATTTCGTGGTTTTTATCCTTGATTCTTTTCCTAATGTTGTGTTTGATTCCTATTTTGACGTCTTATTTTGCGTTTGATTATTTTCCCCTGCGTTAGATTCTTTTCCAGTAAGATTTTCGTTTGTTTAGCCATCCATGCCATGGGTTTTAAGTTTCTTTAGCCATCGACATGTGGTCCGTCGAATGCATCTTCGCTGAAATGGTTAGAAGGCAAACACTTTTCCCAGGGATTCTGAGTTCCAGCAATTGCTCCACATTTTTCTGGTAAATTTGTTTCTTTCATTAGTCTCTCCCTCCATAGCAGTTGCTCTCTTACTTATTTTTTTATGCTCTGAAAAGGTTGGTGGGCACTCTAACTGATAAGCAGTGCCTTGGGGTTACCGCTTTAAGGGATTGGCATGTTTACCCACGATGGGAGCCTCAGAGCTTGGACCGCGCTTTTCCTTCCCTGT